ACCAGAACAGACCACCAGAACAGACCACCAGAACAGACCACCAGAACAGACCAGACCACCAGAACAGACCACCAGAACAGACCACCAGAACAGACCAGAACAGAACAGACCAGAACAGACCAGAACAGAACAGACAGAACAGACAGAGAACAGGCAGAACAGAGGGAACAGACAGAACAGACGGAGGAAGAGGAGGAGTAGAGGGGGAAGCAAGACATAGGAAAGAAGAAGGGAGATCAAAAACCAGCCGCGGTCTCCGCAAGGCTGGCTTTCGTTCTCCTTGGCCTCCAGCCCGCGGACTCCGCTTGGTCAGGAGATGATCTGAGGGTGGAAGAAGTATGTGGAAAATTTTTGCACATTGATAATCCCTGTATTTTTGCAGAGGAAAGAGTACCCAGAGCATTCATAAGCCAATGCGCCAAGGGCAGAAAACAATCAAAAAAAGAGAGAGAGAGTGAGAGAAGGAAAGGAGAGGAAAGGAAAATGAAGGAAAGGAACGAGCGAAAGAAAGAGATAGATATTAGTAGTAATGTTATTAGGGGAAAAGCAGTCCCAAACAAGCTACTCGGAGTCAATCGTCTTTAGATTAGCCAAGGCGCCCAAGCAGAAGAACATCGCGGGTTGCTTTAGCCCAAGCCGAGCCAGTGCTCGCAGCATGCGCAGCACCAGCCGGGGGGGTAGATCCCGGCCGTGCGCCACTTGGTTGAGCTCCTGAGCGTTCGCCGAACGGTCGGCGCTGGTCAGCGCTGGCGACACCGAACGGTCGACGGTTCCGAGCCGCCCGACGAAGAGGAGCTGGGCGAAGCGCAGGTCGCGCTCCACGGCGGTGCGCTCCGCACTCGCCGCGATCGCCTCGCCACAGGTGAAGGGAAGGCACCCGCTCAAGGGCACCAATCACTTCGTTTCTTCAGGAAGGCATCAAAGGAAAACCTTTTTCTTCATTTGTTCGTTGTCCGGAAAATGACCTCCAGTGCTGTGATGGCAAGGGAGGCATCCAGGCCATTGGAAAAGCTTTCCCTCAAGGCCAAGACCTGCGGGACAAAGCTCAAAGGGCAATCGAAACTGCGAGGGTGCCGAGAAACAAAGCCATCTGGAGTGGACACTTCGCAAGACAGAGCTCAAGGCACGGTGGCAACGACCAAACTGTTTCGTCCTTGTACACGGACGATTAAACTTGTTTCTAGCAAACATTGTTCCTAGTACTAAGGCCAGGAGCCCCTAGTAGCGATGCACTTGCTCCTAGTAAGGCCAGGAGCCCCTAGTAGCGTCCTTGCTCCGTTCGTAGCGATGCCCTTTGCTCCGTTCGTAGCGAACATTGCTTGATCAGATCGGGGTCACACGGTCCTTCGTGCGGCCCCGCACCTCCGACGGATGGGATGCGCCCAGAAGCCGCTCCACATCCGCCATGGCTGGAGAACGACGAGGTTGGCATCCCGGAGGAACCCAGGCACCGCGAGTGGGGTGCTCTCTGCTTCAAGTCTCAAAAGGCCCTTTATAGTGTCAAATTTGGGTGTAAAATAGTCAAATAAACAGGAGAAAATGACCAGCTCTGCCTGATCACCGGCTGTTTGGTCCGTCTTTTGCGACATGTTTATACATCTTCTTGCTCTTATAAGCTTGTGAGAAAGTGCTGAAAATGAAACAACACTCAAAGCGACAACCATGACCATCATTGCTGAACAGACACGGCAAACGCGACTCTTCCTTTTCTCGGAAACGAGTGCATCGTTTCGACCGGACATCACTGCGTGCATCTACGTTGAGGACAGTTTCACATTAGCAGGACTGTGGAGAGAAACTCAAAAGATAGATAATAGCTGAAGCGCAAGAATATTTTTGAAATGTTGGGGATGTTGAGAAACAAACAATCACAGCATTGTGTGATATTGTGTGTTTTGTGATGTTTCGTGTTTCTCCCAGTAACTTCCAGTTCCAGCCTGGGGTTCCCGCACCGTGGTCTTGTCTTTGCACAGGCGAACGCAGAACCCCAAGGCCGTTCTTACGGGGCACGGCTCCACATGCGAAAACACCCGAGCTTTGCCCAGTCTCGTGAGCCCTCTCATGGTTTTGGCCATGGCTTTGCATCTGCGCTTCTTCCAGCAGTGCCCCGGTCAGACCGGTCATAGAACTCTCAGCAGTCTGGGACTGCATCTCCTCACAGAAATCTGAAAAGCGTGTCTCAAACGCCAGGAGAAAATGCACGGAGTATATTCAATGATTTGTCTCATCTGGATTGTTCTGTCGTGTCCTATCTCACTATAAGTTGTCCTCGAGACTTCACACCAAGTGTGCGTTCTGTGTACAGAACCGTTCATGGAGGTTGTTTAGTCATTCTTTCAACCATTTCCATGGCCACCTATCGCATCTAGGCACCACAATTGTTTGGCTATTCTACAAGCAAACGTCCAAACCCGAAGTCCTGCCAGGCTATTCCATTGTGCCTGAACCCAAAACGCCAGCCAGGCTCCTATCCCCTATATTTCGAAGTCCCAAAGACCCAGAAGAGGCAAGAGACGAATGCAAATCGAACTCCGCACAGGACCCTTCACTGCCTTCCTCATGTTCCCCGTGATTCCGTTCCAAAACACTGACCGTTCATGTGATTTGGTCACTGCAGCCTGTGTTCCGGCCTGAGAGCTCTGCAGCATCCCCAGCCTTTTCGGGTGGGGAAGCCAACCAGCTGAACAAACATGGTGCCAAACCCGTCGTTTCACACGGACAATTTTGTCTTCCATCAACTTTGAGCCATCACCTCGAAAAAAAATGGTGTCATTTCAGAATAGAGCGCCTCTGCTTTCGATGCTTTCACGCAAGGAATACATGTTTTCTACGCGTGCATGTCACGTGATTCGCTCGGCTCCGCCTCCGGCTGAGCTGCATCTGCAGCGGCCTCACGGAACCCGGCGGTACACCGCGGAAGGAAGGCGTTTCGGGGTGGACCGATGGGAAAGGGGTGCTTTTGGGGTCTAGAAGGTCGAAATGCTGATGTGGGAATCTGTGAAGCAACAAACTCTCTCTTCCAGAAGCCTGCCTTGCTTCCCCACAATCCTCATTTCGTTTTTCGTAGATTATGATGGGGCATTTCATGGAATTTCGTGTTTGCCTCACATCAAAACTCCAGCGATGTCGTGGTTTCTACCCATTTGGAGCCTGGGACCTCGAGATCCATGAGCCTGGCACCTCCAAATACTTCCTACATCCCCTCATTCTATCCTCATTACTATCCTCATCACTCCATTCTCCTCCAGCTGCCTGGCTTAGACGTTGGCCCCTTCTCCACCGAAGAAAAAAACACCGCCCTTTCACGCCGCCTCGGGCTCTTGTGGTAAACCGGTGGAGAGGCCTCCCACGGAGTCCAGTGGATCCTCCGCTCTCGGTCGACGCCGACTCGATCACGGCAGTGAAGGCGGGAAACGTCACGTCCTTGGGGCCTCCTTTGGGGTGGAGGGTGGGGCGGGGATGGAGGCCCCACCTTTCGTTCGCTGTCCTGACTCCCGTCCTTCCAATGCACCCGGTGCACCCGTCCTGACTGCGCTGCTTGGAGCGAAGCAGTGTGGCCACCGAGCCTGGGCGCGAAGACGTTGGTGTGAAGCATCAGCGGATCGACCAACGTTGAAGTCGCTTCCGGCAAAATGCGACCAAACCGAAGGATGTCCTGCAGTCTTGCACTTTGTGTGAAGGTTTCAGAACAATTAGGGTCTCACAACAAGTGTTAAGTAAATAAAACAAAAATAACTGGTTCTATCGGAATCACGCGCACATCCCCATTTAGAAGTATATAGGTATGATATCCTCCGGCACAGTCAGACAGATGTCCGTTGTTGGTCGATATCTTGTTTTTTCCTGCATGCGCCAAAAGCCTCCGCGCCCTCCGTAGACCACGGACCGGCTCCGAACCGAGGACCTTCGCCATTCCAAGGCACTTTGAGTTCCAAGCCGTGTCTCCAGCTCCTCGCGCCACGACCCGCTGGGAACGTTTGGGAAGGGAGAGGGTGGACCCGCCGTGCGAACCTGAGTGATCCCTTTTTGTGACACCACCAATACCTTTTCCGATCAAAACAGGGGGCTCTTGTAGGTGTAGGTGTAGATAGATGATGTAGATGTATGTTAGTGTTCACCCGAAGAGACTCTCGGTAAACGCAAAAGGTGTCTGCTCTCGGTATCTGCTCTCGCTGACCTTAAGGTGACCTTCTTCGAAAACGGATGGAACGGTTTCTCGGTTCGTTTCATCGTTTCTTGGACTTGATATGCAGCTCTTTTCTTTGCATTCTGCGTAGGGCCAACAGGTCTCGTGTGAACCTCCGACCATCGAGCCAACAGTCCAGCCGGCACACAGGCTACTCTTGCCAGGAATTACTCGCTTTCGACCTATCTATAGATGCTCACTCAATCGGGACCCATACATGACGATACCAAACACCCATTGAATTCAGCATTTTAGATCGGAAGTCACTGGTGATGTTGTCGCGACCCAACTCTGTGCCCACCGTGTTTCGACGTCCGGGAATCCTCACCGACGTCCCGCCTCCAAGACGGACTGCGTGACGATTCGGGAGTTCTGAAGACGTTGCAAGCAGATCATCTCCTGCTCCTGGGATTGGTGGACTCTGGAGTTGGATTGCTGCGCAAGATGTAAGTTGAGACATTTCTAGAGAAGGCAGGTCTGGACTCTCGACCGGCTCCATCTTTGAATTGCACCTCACTTTCTGGTGCTTCCTGGAAGATGCTCCCCACGGGAACCCTCTCTTGTCTTCGCCCCCCCGAAAGCACACCTGTACCGGCCAAAACGAAACACCTCGACCGACCCAAGACCTCCAAGTCTGGCAGGGTCGCTTCTGCTTCCAAGACCTCTCAGTTGCGGTCGCTCTTGCGCAAAACAACGCGTGATCGCCATGGGAGATGGATTTGATCCAACAAATCTTTCGCTCGAAGCTGCTCATGTGCGTTCGATTCGCACTTTTGACGTTCAATTCCGCTGCACTGTTGGCAGCCGAGGAACTCGTCGCGCTCCGAAGCCACTTGGGCTTCGAGCTACAGGCTCAGGGTTCCCTGTGATTTTCCACAAAAGAAACATCTCCCAAAAAGGATTTCCGGACCATGTTCTTAAGTGAACAGTGGCCCTGGTTGACCACGCTCATCACACAGGGAGTCCTGGTTGATCTTACGATTTTGTCATGAGATCAATCATATCTGACCACTCTTGTGGCGTCTTCTCAGCTCGTGTCACTTGGGAGGAGTACGCTCCAAAGTCCTGATCACCGCGGCAGCGCTCAAATTAACGCGTTTGTCCTGGAGGCTGAAGGAAAACAATGCAGACCTGAGCATGCAAGACATGCATCGATTTAGACCTGAGTGGCATTGAATCCGTCTCGATCCGACTGTCTCGGCTCGTCTCGATCCGCCTCACCCGACTCGACGAAAACGCGCCGCGACAAAACGGGGAGCGTCCCGATGCCAGAGGGAGAACTCCGCCAGAGCGTCCCACAGCCGCGCCTCGCTGTTCCTCGCTTGGCAGGTCGGTGCCGCTTGGAGGGCGAGGGAGAGTGAACCGAAGTCGAAGACGATGTCCAACATGGTCTTTCGGTGACCCGAAACGAAAAGAGTCTTTGGACTTCTAGGGAAACTTATAAGAGTATATGGCCAAATTGAAGATGATTGAAGAAGCAACCTCTTCGGGGTGAGAAGTGGCGTTTTGCACCCAAAAACCCAAAGACCCTTGGTGCTTTGACGACGCGCAACCTTGCACATTGCAACCTTGCGAACAGTTTTTCACAAAACCAGTCGGGATCAGTCGGGATGTGGCGCAACCTGCGATGACGGAAAGTCCTATTGAATTTCCCTCCGCAAGGAACCGACAGTGTGTGATTGACCCCCACTGGTGGGTTCGCAGAGATGAAGCTTCTGCCCAGACTCTCACCATCTGCCGGCATGGCGTAGTCCACATAGAACCTGAGCTCAGACTATATTATTGACTGCTCCGCAAACGCGTCGAGAGGCATTTGCAATAGATTCAAAAATAACCCGTCTTTATCTGAGTGACCTATGGAACTTGAGTGCAAAGCTCTATATAAGGTTCTCCAAAAGTCAACTCTTGACCCAAAGTTGTGGGCCCAAATTAGAAAGAAGAACAAGGACCCATTTCCCTCCAGATCTCCACATGCTCATGCCAGCTATTGTCCCTTCCCTAGCAGCCAAAGCCATCTCTTTTCGATCAAACAACTCCACAAAGAAAAAAACCATCAGAACCTTGCCCGAGCGTGAACTACTAACGGACCTTTCGCCAAACCAACTTGCAGAGCCCAGAAACCCTCTCCGAGACGACCCGTTGACGTCATCACACCACACCCTCTCCCAGGCGAGCCGCAGATAGTCCCAGAGTCTCGCTTTGGTCAAGTTGGGCGGAGCCCGTAAACCCAAGGCCAGCGGCCGCGTCTCTACCTGACACATCGGTCATCCGGTCCACCGGCACCATGCCGCGTAGCGGGGCTGGGGCTGGGGGGGGTGGGAGTGGTCTTGGCATCAAGAAAGGTGACGAACCAGAAGGAAATCCCAAGTGTTTTCCGCACCTGTTTGCTTCTTATGTCCTTCAAAAGAAGAAATGAGAGATGGATTCTTTAGCTAAATAGCCTCCGAACCCATCCTTGTGCAACATGACACACCCACTCATTGCTTCCACCCGATGTCCCTCCCTCCACCGTATTGGTTCCGTTTTTGAGGGGGGGGATCCCTCCCGCCCAGCGAAGAGTTCCTTCTCCGTCTCGCCTTCAAAACGTCGATGCTTCTCAGCGCCCAACAGGCCAACAATTTGAAGATGGCTCCGGGTCTCGGACGGAGGAAGTTGTTGCAACCGTGGCCCAGGAACGAGCTACGGCAGCTACGGTATGGGTGGCTACAGTGACATGTGGTGACCGAAATGTGTTGAAGTTATATTTGGATCTTGCCGCAAGAAAGATGTGCCGCAATAAAAATGTCCAGTCCATAGTTAGCACACACACACACGGTTTCAACAAAGAAACTTTAAAAAGTAACAATAGATAACAAAACAAAACAATTGCATGTTTCGCCACACAGTCCTTCTTGCAAAAACGAAGCCCTGCGATCTGCGCACTCTGTGTAAAGCCAAGCAGCTCATTACTGAGTGCGAAGCATGCGGATCGCTTCCGCAAAGGGCTCAGCACATCCCGTGGAAACGGTGGCGGAAGTTTGGAAGCTTCACCGTTCCGGAGATGAAATAAAATATAGCCTCAGCGTTTTTGCACAGAAAAACCAGGAGATTACATTCATGTGTTTCTTTCATGGGGATTTGAACGGTTCTGAACTCATGTTCCAATGTGCGTAAGCGTTTGTTTGCGCACTCCGGGAAGTGTAACATTTACACCCGCGCATCTTTGCAAAACGGCATGTCCTGCACAAGAAAAAGGGTGCAAAACAAGCGGTTGCTCTGACTCGGAGGTCCAATGCACCATGGCTACAGTCTGTTGACTGTCTATTTCAGGCTTTGGAGAGACGAAAGGTGAATTGTGTATTGGTTGGCAACGTGAAAAAACAGGAAATGTCTTTTGCGAAAGATCTTTGTGGATGTCGCATTTAGTTGGGCAAAAACATGTTCATGCTTCTTCCTCAATTAGAATTTGTCGACCCATCCTCCCTCATTGGCCCAAACAAGAAGAAAGCAAAAGTCTTGGTACATCATGTTAAGCGATATGCTAGCGTCAGCGGCAAAACAATCCAAGAGGGAAATAAAGATACAAGACACAGCAACAGCAGCAGGGTAGTAGGGAGATAAAATTGTGAGACAAGTGGGGCAACAAGATTGTGAGAAAAGTGCGGAAAGAAGACAGAGCAACAGGACAAGCACGCACCAGACACAGCAGCAACAGCGGCAGGACAATCCGGACAGGGAAACAACCTTGAAAAACAAGTGGGCAGACACAGCAGTGAGAAAGTGGAGTGACGCGCGGCCGGTCGACCTGCTAATTCAGGACAGAAGGTGAGTGCGCTATAGTGCTCTGTATGTTCAGCCAAGTCTCATCAGCTAATCCGATCGCAGCGCGTTTGGTGCAGAGGGTGGGGAAATGTATGTTGCTGCGATGTTTGATCAGTGTCCAAGGCAGCCCGCAACCGTGCCAAACATGAGGGTCCCAATCCACCGCATCGCATCACGCATGACACTGGGAGAGGATGTAGGCAGACAAGCTTGGGAGATGAGTGAGCCACTCAAGAATCCGCCCCGCGCATGAGCAAAACCTACCAAGGAGTTGCCAGAAGGCGCACACACTGGCCCAGTTGCCTGAAGGCCGACACAGTTAAAAGCATTGAGAACCCTAAGAGTAAACTTTGTAAACGGTTTGAGGAATGATGTCTATAAACTTTAAACGAAACTCCGCGTCTGCCAAGCAGGAGAGCTCTGACATCTGGAACTACCTTCTTAGTTCACTCGGGGCAAACTCAGGAAGGGGGTTCCTCTAAGGTTCCTCCTAAGGTTCTCACAGCTCTTCCAGGACTGGAAATCTGATTGCCAAGGGGCGAGTTTCCAGAAAGGCGTCGTTGCCAATGTCCTGGACACAGCAGGGGTCTCCATGCCTTGGGCCTCGTGGCCCATATATTATATACGTGTCCCGCATCACCAGTGCATACGTCCGGGTCGAACGAACCGGCTGACGATGCATTTCCTCCTTTCCCTCTTCACTTGGAGGGACACCCCGTCTTCTGAGTCTGAGTCCCCAAAGAAGATCAAAAGAAGTCTCCCTCATTAAAAAAATTAAATAGGACTCCAGTAAAAGTTTCAAACAAGGCACGGAACAATTGTGTGAAATTGAGCTTGCATTCTTTCGCCAAGCCAAATCAGCTCCGCGTGCCCTTACATGCCCAACCTCCGAAAAACATCGCCGAATGCCAACAACAAAAAGCGCCTCTGCGAGGACGGAGAGCTCATGCTTGGTGGCCGCTTCTTTGGTGGCAATGGCACAAGCCGCTCCCAAAGCGAAGCCGCCCTGGCTCACCTGCCAGTGTCAACACCCCCGGCCCCCTGCGAGTCCCACCGAGTCCTGAGGAGCGCCGCCGCAACGCGCCGCCGCAACAGGCGACCACCGCGCCTTCCGGGCGGCCTCGGTGGTGGAGATGGTGCTGATCATCTCCAACGGCGCCAAGGCGCGTGGACCTCGGGCGCGAAGCGGCGCTCCGGCGGAGCGGTCCGGTGGTAGCGCAGTACATGATGGACTGATGTCCCAAAGGGTATCTGCATGAAAGCATTCACCAGCTTACTCTTTCTTGAGGAAACCTGGAAGAGGACGGTTCTGGCTCTTCACAAAAGATGTTTCTTTACGATCTGGATCGGTTCCATCAAGATCATGGTTAAAGTATGTGTTCCTGTTTGGGAGGCAGGCTTGGTGCCTGGCGCCACACCCATCTCTCCAAAAAACAGCGCCACACCCGGTGTCTCAAAGCCTCTGGGCCTTCGGCTGCCAGCAGGCAGGCGTGTTTCCAGGAAGGCGGAGCAAGCACTCAAGATGTTGGGATGGCTCAAGACCTGAGACCCAACGGCGATGGTTTTCTTCTTGGGTTTTGTACACGCAACATGGTGATACATGGTGGATATACATTTCTCAACGGCGATTGAATTGGATTGGACCTCTTCCATCTCGCTACCCAGCGCCATGCATATGTGATGAACGCTGGAGCTGAAAGACTCCGTTTTGCAACACAAAAGGCACAATGAAGCCCAATCCGGAGTTGAACTCTTCGGATGATCCTAGGATAGAGTAAGATGGGGCTGGCAGTAGATTTAACAGAATTCAACTGGCACAGGTTTAGCTCAAGGATAAGGAATTGTTCAATAACCTCTCCGTTTGACTCAGAAATCAGACTCGCGCAAAGCCAGGCTTTTGGTCCCCGCAAGGAGCACGTGCAGACCAAGCTCCCCACATATCTCACATCCGCCAACGTGACATCCGGTCGGCCACAAAGGCAGTACACCTCCGGTCTCCCGCCGCTTTCGGTCGGAGCTTGCCGCCAAGGGCAGCAGGGCACTAGGCCGCACAGCACAGCACGTGTGTCCAGGCAGCAACAAGGAATAAGATGACTGCAAAGGTATTTACCGGGAAACACCACCAGAACAAAGACGATCAGTATTCCCTGGAAAGAGTCGATCCGATTTACAGGGAAACACCACCAGTTTGGGATACTTCATGATCTTCATGTTCTTTTTCTTGATCCTCAACGAGGAGGAACATCACACTTCGGTCACGCACGGCGTGCACGGGTTGCCGTGCCTCACGGACGCCCAGTTCCCCAGCAATGACCACGTCATGCTGTAGCAAGAGGTCGTAAGTGGAGTGCAAAGTGCCTCCCAAGGTTTCAGCGCAGCGGACATGCGCTGGTGGTTGGGCAGGTGGTTGCTACGTTGCTATCTTGAAGTGGTGACCAGAAGCTCCTGGGCCAATCCTTGTTGATGAAGGACACCCAATCCTTGGGGGTCGCAATAATACTCCGCGGGTCCTGAAATCCCTCGGATCGTGCCAGCCAAGCCGGAGACGCACTCCCCGGTCTTTTCCGAGGTCTCCCAGTTGGTCATCACCGCACCGTCACCGTCAGGAGAGAGGAAGAGGCGGCTCACGCCGCGCCTGCCTGAGGCGGAGTTTTCGATGGGCACCACGCCGTACATCGCCTCGCCATTCACCACGGCTTTGAAGGCCTCGTTGCTTCGCTTCGAGTCGTTCGGTTGAACCGTTGGGTCGTCCCAGGGACAACGTCCGTCCACGGCCCCTTCCAGTCGGCCTCTTCGTTGACTCGACAGGATCTCTGTCATCCAAGTGCTTGGTGAAATGCTTTTGGTCCGTTTGATCCAGGCACAGTTCCAGTCATTGAAGTCATTGTCACAGTGTCTTGTGTCCAGGTGCGAGTCTGTTGTGCTACAACTCATGCGTGTCTGTCTGTTTTGCTCGCTCGGCGATGCGTGGCAGGTGGCTGCCGCGAAGGACTTGACGCCCTTCTGCTTAAACTGTGGCAGGTGATTGAAGAATCGCCCTGCGTGCCATGACTTTGCGGTGCTCCAGCCGGATGAGTGGAGGAAGTTCTATGGAAGTCATGCATGTCTCAAACTATATAACTAGTGGTAGTCATACATTTAAATGAGCAAGCAAGTGATGCAGTTCTATGGAAGTCATTTGTAATGACAAGTAGCATAGTAACTGTTGCCAGAGTAGCTCTCGAAGCTAGTCCGTCCCTTCACAGAAAGTGTCAGAACCTTGCTCTGGATGCTTGACCACACCGAACGCAACACACCAAACGCCGCCTATCGCCACATGTGCTAGCGATCCTTCTTCACCTCGGAGAATCATGAAAGACTTCAAGAGCAAGTGGGCACAACTTCCTCCTTAGTTCCTTGGCCTGATCAAAGAAAATCCGTCTCTGAAACCATTCCGGATCCATTTCTATCATCCAGCACCTCTAAAAACCCCACGGTCACCGAACCTCTCGAGTTCGACGCTCCAAGGCGCCAATGTAGACCGCGGTCTCTCCCCGGTCCCGCCGCTTGGACGGCGGCTCCATGGCGGGAACACTCTGGTGGTTGGAGTCCATCCCATTCGCTCGGTCGTCCGGGCCTTTCGAAAACGCTTTTTCTGGGTGCTTGGTATGTACGAAAGTCTCATCTGGGATCTCCTGCAAGTTGGATGTCTGAAATCATGCGAGAGGGTTTTGAGCTGTTCACTTCTCAAGTTCCTACAACTGAAGATCTGTGAAGCAACACCTGAGAGCAAGATATGGAAATCGCAAGCGATCTCAGTGGAGTGAGCGACCAGATTTCCTAGCACCGCTGCCATCGCCGGGAAAAGAGTGAGAAAGACCTTCACGTTTGATGCTGGTCCAGATTTGGTGGTGCGCACCCATCTCAACCTGGTCTATCCAGCCTATCCGATCTATCCAAACATGAACTACAAAACCTTTCTTGAGATCGACGCTCAGGCCATGGGCCACCTTTCTAGAAAGAAAAGAAAACATAAATATATTTTGAACAGAACAGCAATGACCAAACCACTACCTTCCACCCACAGCCCTCACTTGCTCCGGAACAGAGTCACACGTGTGCCTCTTGCTCTGCTTGCTGGCGTTCATACTCTTGGAACTCACGCATACGTTCCAGGCGTAAAGACCGTCCCTGGCTCGCCTGAGCGCATCGGCCACGTCGACCGAGCGAGCAAACACGTCCGCGTTCGACCTCCGTTTCTGGGGCCGAAGAAGCCTCCGACCTGTTCGTTGCCACGTGTTTGGGCAAAAAAGAAGGTGTTCCTATGGGTTCCTACATGGGTTGCGATGCGCTACAGGGCCCAAAAACACGTTCCTCGCAAAGAAGCAGGTTGCGATGTTGGGTCAACCGATGGTCTGTCTGGGTTCACGGGCCCGCGACCGAGCTTCTTTCTGTGCGATCCTCGGTGGGAGGGAAAGCACAGGCATAAAGATGTGGAAGAAATGGCAAAGATGCGTACAGTTGCAGCATGCCAGCCATGATCACTGAAAGAGGATTCAATCCACACCTGTTGGTCTCTCCACTTAGCTCCAGATGTCAGCGAATCGAAACATCCGGAACCCGCGAAGCGCCAGGCGCCCCAGCTGGATCATGGCAGCGCGTTCGGAGTTCGCTTTCCGCATCTGGACCGAAGATCCCCAACAACCCGTGACAAGACGATCGGAGATTGGAGAGTTCTTGCATGATGGAGGTCTTGTTGGATCTTTCTTTTGGGGAGGAGAACCAAGTGACCTCGTTTGGGAGCTGGAAGGCTTGGAGTTCTGCCTAAAACCCAATTAAAAAAGCTGACATCGAACTGTTTCAGCATGTTGCAAGTGTGATAACCAACAATGTATGTCCAAAAATAACAAGAACATATACAGGCAACAACGCCTCAAGCAATGAAAACTGCTCTTCCACCCCTTGGCATTTCATTCTCTACGCTTCTTTGCCAATCCCCGACCGCCGACCGCTCTCCGACCTCCAAGTCCAGCTGCCTCTTTTGGTGAAGGATCGCCTAGCGAGAACGAGATGTCACACCACGTTCTCAACGTGGAAAACAGCGGAGAACGTGTGCACCATCTGCGTGTTGCAAACAATCTGCTTTGTGTTTTTGGTTGGGCCTCTTTAGAGTGCCGTGCCGCCCTTTTTTTTCCAGTCTTGGAGATGTTGGACCATCGAGGCATCTTGCAACAGACCCTCCATCACACCGTGTTCTCTCTTGGTTCTCTCTTGCTTCCGAAGAAGCAGAGGGCCTCCTTCCAGGAGTCATGAGTCGGACATGGGCTTCCCATGACGACTTGAGGATGCACAAGGACGATGTCCATGCGCAAGGAGAGAAGAGATGCGAGAAAAGCATCGAAAAGCCACCAACGAATCCCTAGGTCCAGAATGACCGACATCCGGTTCAGAGGAACACGTTGCACAACAAAAGAGAAAGACGTACCAACGATGAAGTGAAGAAAGAGAACCAAAGACTATAAGACGATTCAACAGAAGCTTCCTTCCACTTCTATTCCTTCGATAGCTCTCTATGAGGACGTCTATTCCTTCGATGTCCTTCCTTCGATTCCGACCGCCCGGACTGACGGAGAGTGGGCACCACTAACGGAGTCACTGTGGAACACTGTGGAACGGACCTCCTCGCCTGTGAGGTCTCTCGCTGGGCCTGTGCCGCCAGCTGTTTCTCGCGCATCGATTCAAACCTCGACGCGGGAGGGAGACCGCAGCGACGGCAGCGAGGGAAGGAGCAAAAAGGGATTTTCGCGGGATGCGTGTCATGATGCGTGTCCATGGACTTGGAGAATGTGTCGAGCATCTGCATGTATCACATTCTCTTTTTGGACCCAAATCACAAATTCAAATCACTTGCAGAACCTTCGCTTCGAGTTGCATCCAGCAGTTTCCGAATGTGCATGTGCATGGACACTTCGACTCACCCTCAGCTTCGAACTGCTGACGCTTCCGGTAGTCAGAGACGGAGACCCTGCGGCGTCATGCGTGAAAGTTGGCCAGTTGGCCTTCCTTTCCTAGTTTGGTAACCCACACACCCGGAAAAATGACCCGGTTTCAGAATACTGTATGGAAAGAATCTGGCCATCACGGCATTCCGAAGTATGACATCGATGTCTGAATCGATGCGCCCGAAGACGACGGGCGTCGGCCTCGCCCGAGAGTTCCCGGGTTCCGGTCGCCCGGGGGCGTCGGCCTCGCCTATTTTGAGATGCCTTCACTCTGTTATGTTGAAGCGTGAGATCTCTCTCCTGACGTGAAGCTGTCGATCGCTGCTTCTCCCGGGTTTCTTGATGCTTCTCTGAAGGAGCGAACGAAGGCTGCTTGTAGAAGCGAACAGCAACTGACATCCATGAATCCACAGGTAAGTTTCCTGAATGAGTTGGTTCTGGAGCAGAGCCAGAACGCTTGCTTGTACAGGAAGAAGAATTGACAATCCAATCTCCTGCTGGATTGCTCGATCTGCCAACTTCTTCTCAATGGTCCGCGAGCGTCCCTCCTTAGATTAAATGTATGCTTCTGTCGATCCAAGTGTTGACATGATGAAGAATTTGAAACTGTTCGCTTGACATCCTGTCAACTACAATACTGTTGTCAAGCAAGGTCTATTTTGATACATGATGATACTTCTTCGATTCCTGGGACAATCGAAGAAGTTTGCTCGGAACATCAACTCGACATCCTTGGATTCCGTTTTTCTTGCAAGAAGGGACCCATTGATTGCGGTCGATCCCAAGCAATTTGACAGATCAAATTTGATCAAAAGCAGAGCTTCCTGGGGAGCCTTTCAACGTTGGATTTCTGACTTGAGAAAAAGAACGCTCACGCTCGCGCCGGGCTCCCCACTTCAATGGTCGCTGCCTGCGCCACCAGGTGCCACAAAGGTTACAACTGTTTAACTATTTGTTACATGTCTCACCAAAAAGAGACATTGTAACACGTCTGACGGTTACATGTCTCTTACATGTCTGACGGTTCCCAAAAACCAGCAACAAAAAACGAGAACCGTCATCAGTCGGACAAGGTCAACGGTGCCTGCCGTCGGACTTCTTCAAGATCTCGCCAAATCTTCTCCTGCAAAAAAAGTGCCGTCGGAGGCAGACATGGCACTCGAAGAAAGCAGGAAATCTTCGAAGCTTCAAATCGGTCTCACTGCTGCAACAAGTCAAACGGCCCCTCCGGCATGCTGGTGTTTGCAAGATCTGATGCCGGGCCTCTTCCTTTTGGAAGTACCGGATGCGATTTTCAATGGCTTTTCGATTTCTTTCGATGGCCTCCAACATGGATCTTTCACTGAGACTCTGCTGTCCAAACTAAAAAGGTCACTCGAACGCAATGTGAAAAACGCACTGTTTCTTGGGGGAAGTCATCTTCTGGGCGGGCCATTCCACAGCAATTCATAACATCTTTGCAAGATTTGAAATCTATTGAGTTTGTTGTTCGCAACTGCAAATCCCTCAATGACGTTTGGATGGCGTCGCGCAAAGCTCTGGAAACGCGTGCCTTCTTGGCACGATTGGCCTGGCAGCGAGTCACCCAGAACGCCCATGAAACGTGAAGCAAATTGATTATGTTTCATTGGGTATTGTATAATCAAAAATGGTTGGAATTGTTAGAATGTCAAATTCCTAGCATGGTACCTCCATTAGCCTTCGAAAGGCTTGATTTCGTCCAAGGATGTTTGTTGAATGAGAATGGTTGCGCCCAAGAACCTGACGGTGCTGAATGTGCAGTCACACTGGGACTGCTTCATCTGCATCTACAGCGGTCATCGTTAAGACTTCGAGCACCAAATTGAAGATGTTGAAACGGGGCCCATAATTGTGAAACGCGATATTGGTAAATGCCTCTTCTTCTGTGTAGGCCACCTAATTACTAGTTCAAAAAAAAGAAGACTTCTCTTGGCAATCATCCTTTAATTCTCGGGAACGGCGCGGAGATCCCCGCGGAGATCCGCGCGGGTTCAGCCGCCTCGTGCACGGTCATCGGTCGATCATCTCTCCTTCTCCGAGCGGTCGGTGGGAGGGATGGAAGGGGATGGACATGTGAAGATTGTTCGGCCAGAGCCTCATTTTGGAGCAACCCATCTAGCGTTTGAGAGGTGTCTACGTGATTCTTTCAAAACGAAGCCGGGCACGGACATTGTGGGAAGGCGGCCTTTGCACAATGTCCCACGTCTGGCATCCAATCGACACAGCTATGAAGGCATTGAACACGCTTTATGCTGGTGATGAAGACGTTTTGCGATCAACGCACGTGCAGCGCAGCTCCTGCTTTCCTCTCTGGGGCTGCGTGGGCTCAAGTCCTGCAGATTGGGCCCTGTTGGACTCGCCAAAGATGCAGTTGTGAAATGTGGTGCGTTCAAAAACCACCACGGGTGCACTTTTGCGCAAGTCAAAAGTGCCAGCAAAGGTGCTGGATCAGATCATGCCATATCATATCACTGTATGTCAGGCTGAGCGCATTGCTTTGATAATGATCATGAAGGTGCGACTAACCAGCAAGCCAACTGATTCATTCTCCCTTGAAACAACAACGCCCAAGGAGGGCTGCAAGGAAAGGCGGCCCATGCTTGCGGCCTTCTCACCAAGGCTGGTTTTCAACCTCAGAAGAGCTTCATGTGCTTCCCAGTGCTACTTCAAACTTTAAGCCTCCCACATCCCAACGACACCCCACAAAAACACCAACCCTTCCAACAACCCTTAAGCCTATTTAAGCCACTTATACCCCCTTACACCCCCTTCACCCCCTTCACCCCCACCCCCTTAGAACCAAAAAGAGAACGAATCAAACCCTTCCGTCGCCTCCGTCGCTCCGTCCGGCCGCAACGGAACCACCGGAGCTCCGCGCCCCGAGGATCGCCCCGACGAGGGCGGCGGGCGGCGCCCCGGCGGGGCGAACATCGCACCTGGCGGAGCGGAGCGAATGGGGTGGGAAGAGGTGGGGGATTTTGGAAGGGAAGAGTGATTCGGTGACCGGACAAAAAAGACAGAGATGAAGATGAAGAGCTTCTGCACGTGCCAGTTTTGCACGTGCGTTCTTCGCGGTTCGTCCTTCACGTCGATACGAGAAAAAGGGTCGATGGACCGTGGCTCCGGCGCGTGGCGGCGCGTGGCGGCACGTGGCTCCGGCAGTCTGGTTTGTATGTTTTTGGTTCTCAGCTCCCACCCGGTGAATTAGTTCGATGCATGCCGAAGCTACCGGGCGACCATAAGGCTTTAGCACAGTGTTCGTCCAGCTGGGTCGATCAAGCACCACACGAGACTCCGCAGGAACGTACGAAGTCTACGAGCTGCGGGACCAGACAAGAAGGAGTCGACCCGGTCGGACATGGTCTCTCACTATTCATTCTCCTCCATCACAAGCTTAAAGAATGACATCCTTCTCACCAGGCACCCCAATGCGAAAGGTGATGTGCATAGCCGCATACCCCTGAAGTAAGGTGCACGCGTCACATGGGTTGAGGCAGCTTTGGAAAGTAGCTGTGCTCGCGTCACATGGGTCGGTATAGAGAGATGTTTACCCCTCAACCCCACCACCTATACCCAGGTGCACCTGATTTACATGGCTAATCCTGTCAACCTGAAGTTCTGTCTGCCGGCCTTGACCGTCAACGGACCCACGAAGTGGGTCGTCCACCCCGCGCTGAGCCACAAGCCAGCGCGATTCGCGTGGCTGCGGTGAGCTGCGAGCGAACCCGGTGCCCCTTCGAAGGGACTTTGGAAGTTCCCAGCTTGGATTGTGAACTGCATCTTTGAATCCATTTGGCCATATTCTACCTAGTGAAGCAAAGGAAGTTTCCTTTCAGGTACTCTAATAGAAACAGTCTTTTTGTAGTAATTGACTCTCAGGGATGAGGATGACGTTTGAACCCCAAACCTATCAGACATGCGCCCAACCCCACCAGGATCCGGACTCTGAACAATGCTCACGTGTCGGGCGGAATGAAGATGCGTTTCTCCAGTCCAACACGGCGCGAGATGGCAGAACCTCCACTCACCGGATCGCCAAATCGAACGCCTGTTTCTCACAACCCAGAAGACACACGACCACAAACGACTCACGACACCAGAGAAGAGCACAAAAGCAGCGCAGCCCGCTTTCTCGTGCTCAGAACACCTGCTTCAGAGAGTCCGGCTCCGCATGTTCGGGGCATCAGCATCGGTCAGGGTCTCCAGGCGCTGACCGAACCGCAACGGTCGCCGGAATTGATTCTGGAGGGGCAACCGAAACGTCTGGTGTATATAATATATCGAGCAATGTAGAATTTGACTTTGCTTCTGTTCTGTATACTAGGAGACTAGGATCAATGATGAAATGAGCCGGCACGAAGTATGGTGAGCAGTGAACGAACCATATCGAACCAAGAAGAGAATATAAAAGACCAAATCCTCTGGCCAACTTTTGCAAAAAGAAATTGACGATATTGGTTCAATTTCTCGAGACTCCAATGTGTTAAGATCTCCAAATGGATCAGATGTGATCGGCGTGAAAATATCGATGGACTCGCATGAAGGAACCCCGAACTACTCCAAATCACGATGAAGACAGCTTGGAACCTTCAACCACGGAAGCCCTACAAGCGCAAAGATCGTTGTCAGTTGTCAATGACTAGAAAACTATGACCTCGACCAAAATCCGGCCATTTCGATGCCTTTACTGAAGGAAGAGGGGACCGTGTTCCTTTTTGTCCAGGGTTCAACCTGGGGAAGTTTCTTGCCACCTTTTGGTCACGGGCACTAACTCCATGAGCTTCTTGCCATCGCTGCGCCGATGCTGAATAGCCTCCAGAGAATCCTCTGTACACCAAACACAACGCCAACAGTTAGACAGATTCTCTTCAAACCCGCCATCACTTCGGGCACAAAGACGCTCGCTATGGGTCGGAACGGGACGATTCCTGTGAGAAGAAACCAGACCAAATTCCATCCCAAATCAAGCAAACGAAATCTTTCATGATGGGACATTGTGATACGTTACCATGTGAGATTGATGTAATACCCGATGTTCTCCTCATCTGCTAACCGTCTCCTCACACCCTCTCCTCGCGGACAGTAGGCCGGTTCAGACCCTTTTTCGACCCGTTCCGGAACCCCGCGGAAAGTCGCGGAAACCCCTCAGGAGCCGATGTAAAAGTGCCGCCCAACGGCCGGCTCAGTTGGCCGAAGCCACAGGACCTCGTGGACGCCGACCCGCCACCGGCACCGGGGCGGCACCGGCACCGGTGCGCGGCACGTGTAGCGTTGGCCGTTGGTGAGGTCGGAAGAAGCGCTGTTGAGCACAGGTTGAGCACAGCTGGGAATGGTGAGTCATGTGACAAGCCATTTGAGGAGTATTACGATAAAGAGCTAAAGAAGGTCTTGAGTCTTTTGTTGTGCTTTTTCATGCTTTTTCATCATTTTCCAGGCTTTGTCGTGTGAGAGTACAGGTGGTATCAGGTGGCTATGGTGAGAATGTACCTGGCGTTTCAACTTGCTTGAACTGTCACGGTGGTCGGTTTGTGTTTGGTTGAGCTCTGCACGGCCACGGTATACGCAGAGCTCTTGTCAAAACATGAAGAGGAGATATAGAATCGAAGTGGCACCTGCCAGCATCGATCATCAAGCTGAACAAAAAGACTCAAATGGCTTCTTGAAGCATACAGCTCGAGAAACCTATAGATTAAGCAGGAGCCTGATCAGTATTCTCTATCTCATCAAATCAAGTCGGACTCTGAGCTTCTCCCCACCTTCGATGACACATCAAACCACTCCTGTCGGCTGTTGAAAAGCTGCAAGTGACGGCTATGAGAACTCCAAACACAAGCCCTGAAGGCCATTGTCTTGCCATATCCTCCTTTCGAACTCCCAGCAGTAAGTCTTCAATACGTCTCCCAAAGGTCTCTCTCATCCATACTAAGAGACTACTTAGTAGGCTTATGCTGCACGAATCCTGTTGCAAAGTCATAAAGTCCCAGCTTTTGAGACTGGCCACGCATCACAACGAAGCAAAAACAATCCAGTCCATCTGCAATCCTCTTAGTTACTGGGCCACATACGTGCATACCTTCTTCGCTCGTCCATACGTGCATCGCTACGAGGGGTGTTTTCACCGGCACCTCCGTCAGAACGTGCGTGTTCCGTAAGAGTGCCAATCGGCACCTCGGCCCATGACGAAACGACTGAACGACTGAATGACTCAGGGGCCAAATGGTGTTCTGGGATGGACACTATTTCAGAGTGTTTTTTGGGACATGGATCCTCCAAGAGAACGCCAATTGACTCGTCTTCAAAACACACTCCGGCTGAAGCGCAGCCTCCCTTAGCACATCTGTAGGACATCTGTAGGACATCTCCGTAATCTCCGAGCTCGAAGTGGTGTTCACAGATCTCCGAGCTCAAAGCCGGCGAATGCCATACTTGGAAGCCTCCCCAATGAGCAATTCCAAGTCAAAGGTCACTGAGGTCAAAGTGCCTCGCAGCGGCGTGGCACAGCGTTCTGTCCGCTGTGTTCGAAGCGTTCTGCCGACGCTGGGAGCTCGGGTTCGTTACAGTCCGGTCCAGAGGTCTCAGTGGACGTGATGATCCCGTGGATCCTCGTGACCCCGGTGTCGACCGGCTTCAGCAAACGTGGAGCGAGTAGGAGCTGAACCGACCTTTTCGCCCGAACCATCCACGGCTCAGGAGTGAAGGAAAGCACCTACACAATAGGAGTGCCTCTCATCTAATCGTCGACTGGGTGAATCTCTTGAAAGTCGAACGACATCTTTGGATATTTGGAGAGTGTATACACTGAGTATACTGAATCTCTTTAACACACTACTATATGGCGACTCTCTCAACAAAGACTATGTGGGGAGGTCCATATTCGGAGATCTACCTTTTTCTTTCTCTCATCGATCGATATTTACCTAATCACTCTCCCAGCAGCTTGCAATTCCACGCAAAGGCTATCAAGCAAAAAAGACAATGACACACCCGCCACCACAGTTCTCAACATCCGCAGCCTCCAAGCTGTGCTGAATGCTTCCCATTCAGGTCCTGTCATCGAGCCCCGAATTCGGAACCTCATAGGTGGAGGCTCTGGCGTTAGTTCCCTCACCTCATGCCTCCCTACACTTGTCAAAGTGGCGTCATGATTCTCCAGCACCCGGCCAGACTCTTTTCCTCCTTCGGAAGGCTATGGTCGCGGGTCACTGGTGGTGTCGTCTCCTTCAATGTCTTGCCATTTGGACCGGAAAAGCCGCCGAACTTCTCAGTGGATACAGGTGATTCATGTGACATTCATCGGATCCATCGAATGCTCCGGAAAAAAAGGGGGGCTTGTTCAAAAGCCTTACCATCATGGCAGCCATGACATTGATGGGACCTTTCATGAAGATCTGGACTTCGTCCACCACAGATCTCTGTGAGACAAAAGGGGTCGCTCGACTTCGCTCTGACCTCCTTCAGCCGAGCGTGGCGATCCATTCCGCATCAGATGTCGTGCTGTCCGTGCTGTCGTGCGAATTTTGTGGGCACTGCCAGGTCTTCCAGAAGAACAACAGTGGTGGCACTTGAGCTGCTTGAGCGCACCGAGCTTGACATCCAACGCATGTGGGGCTTAAAAGAGGCGTTGCAGCACAAGTTCACTTGTGTCAACTCAAATCCTCAATCTCTCCTCCCATCAATGGCAATGGGGCAAGCTTGTTCCGCGTCAAGTCTACCTGAGTCAGACAAAAACCAAGAAATACCGTATAAGATGGATGTATCTACATGATTCTATATGTCTGAACCAGCAAACCACCAACCCCAAAAAAGAACACAACGGTCCCCCGTTCACGCCGGACGAACAGTGCCCAGCCCCACGACCCAAGGCGCCGTGAACTCCGAGAAGTACGCCTCGACTCCGCTCTCCTTGGAGCGGTGGACGCTGGGCTCCGCGAGCTGGGCTCGATGCAGCCCGGTCCGAACACGCCAAAAACAGGAAGGAGCTTGTGGGAAGGGGCTTGCTTGCGGGAATCATCGTCTTCTGGACACCTTGGGGACGAAAGATGAAGAAAAAATAACCCCATCATTGATCAAATTGATCCATCTGTCTATCGTTTCACCCACTTTTTCAGTCCACATCGCCACACCTTCCTTTACCGGGACCGCCAGGACAACCATCGAAACCTGAGGCCTCCGGCGGCATCCCAGCCGACGACTGGTGCCAAATCCGGCTTCACGAAGTGCTGGTCCTGGTGAGTTCTGTGCGGGTCGCAGATCTGAGTGAAGTGAGCGAAGCGATGTGCCATGTTTGGTGCAGTTTCGATTGATCCAATAAAACCAACACAAAGTGCATCAAAAGGAGGTATTTTGCAACATACAATGAGCATGAAACACATCGAATTCACAACTGGCGTGAAAGATTCTAAATCTAAGAGGTTCAACCAACCGTTCAACCCAAAAGCCCACGCCCACTAAACTCACTCAACCACTTAGAAACCTGCCGCTGTCACCGCCCACCGCCCACGTCTCTCTATGCAGTCCGCTCGCTCTCCGCTGTCCCGCGTCGGGATCCGTTCTCCTGCTTCCGCACGGCGGTGCAGTCGGACTCCATCTCCACGGAGGCGGCCAGGCCGGTGATGAAGCCCAACCTCGGCCACGGTGGTTGGAGATGGTCTGTGCAGGTGGAAGTGCTGGCAGTGCTTCGCCAGCGGCGGAGGCGAATACGGTGGATACAAAGGGTCAATTCCCAGAAGAACGAAGTGTGGATCTGGAGCTTCGTTTCCCCGGTTCAACACTCCCACACTCCAAGGGCGGTCTCCAAAAATGATAGAAAGGATGTGTGAAGAACCTTTTGCCGCGTATTACATCTACTGGTGCTTTTTGCAACGTGTCTGTTGTTGAAATTGGCCAGTTGGATGGATCCTGGATGTTTTAAGTCTAGCTTCATTTTGATAGTGCGAAACCAAAGGAATGAGAAGGATGTGAACAAAAATACGACGATGTTCTGAAACAATGAAGCTGCAATGTTCAACGTGTGACAGGAAGGTTGAGATTAAGCGGCAAAATCATGCAAAATCCAACCAAACTCATTTTTGCACCCGGCCCCACCTCTCTTTTCAGCACCTCAGTCAGTCTCAGTCAAGGCACTGCAAGGCCTCTGTGGCGCTACAGCGAATGTCCTGATTTCGGCGCCTCAGAATCCATGAGACTGGATGTTCACAAAACCGAAGATGGGATTTGAAGAGTATCTGCTTCGTCTTCTCTTTGGATCAGAAGGCAATCCCCTCCGGTCGACATGTTCGGTCCCCAAAACAGGTAAAAACCATCTCATCTCTCGACTTCTGGGTGACCCGGACAACAAGACCCGGCAGAAGCGGGCCGCAGGGCCTAAGGACTCGCCCACCTGGACGCTCGAGAACCGACCGAAGGTATTGCTCGGTAGGCTGCCATCGAAATACGTGCAGAACAACAGGCTCCTGCACCAGGAATGTCGGTGTTCCCAATCTTTCTGTCGACCCACAGAAAGGATCAGAAAAGTGCCCTGTGAGATTAGCTCCCCCATCGGTCTGGATTCTTGGCTTCGTTTCGGGTTTCGGGAAACAGTTTGCTGCCCAGGCCTTTTCCCCAGCAGGCACCTGGCAGGTTGAAAGCCGGCCGGTGCAGAACTCTCGAGCATCAAATGCGCAGCAATATCGTAAGTTCTGCTCTATGAGTAAGTTTCCTCAGAATTCCCTGCCTTCCTTGCTCACATGTTTCAAAGTGACGAAATTGAAGGATTGGATCAAATAAGTTCAATTTGCCCCCTTGCCCAAGATGGCCTGAACAAAGTACGGCTCGGCATTTTGCAAAATCAGAGTTCGTATTCTGTCCTGGGCCGCCCCGGCAACGGCAACTGCATCAACGCGGCTTCTAAGCTCAGAGCTTCGTGCCCTGTTTCTCAACGAAAACCATCCAAACCATCCAAACCATATGGTTTCCACTCCTCCGAACCCAGGGGTATGAAAGCCTTCTCAGACGTCTCGGGCGCTCCTTGTCTCGGACCTGCGGCGCGTAGGGAAACTCATTGAAGAGCAGGGCGTAGGCCATCACCCCGAAGGACCAGACATCGGTCTTCTCGGTGTAGCCGGCCTGTGACGGAAGCGGACGAAGAATGAAGCACAATGAAGCACACATTTCTCAAGGCGCGTAGCGCGCGAGGGGTTTTGTGTGTTCTTTTTTTTGGGGGGGGGTTGGGTTGGGGGTTGGGACAGGGAGGTGTGTTTTCGGGCACGGGGAATGACACGGAAAAATAACATGTGTTTTCAGTTTCTTCTTCAGTTGCTCTGGACATCTTGAAACCAACTCGGTGAAAACTCAGTTCCTGCCTGAGTCTGAATGTCAATGGAAAAGAACACCCTAAAGTGCCCCCTCTCTTCTGAATGCTGACACGAGGTAAATGTATAGTCTAGCATCTCGGAAACGCTGAAGAGTTCATTCTGTTGGAAGATTCTTCTGGTCCAAACGCCTCGCGCCAACGCTCGCGCCTTGCTGTGCATCTCCGGGGACCGGTATTGCCAGCTGCCAACTTCTTCGAAGAGCCGGCCGCCCTGGACGGCAGTCCAAACGTGAGGACTGAGTTAATGTGTTTTGGCTAAATGGTTTAAGGAGATATGGTTGGGGACAGAAAGAACTGTTGGGTGCCTCGACGTGTGATTCAGAAGAGTTTTTATGATGTTCATTCATCAGGATCTTTGAATGTCCAAAGACAGAACCCAATTGTTTGAGGAGAAAGAAGGTGCATCGATCGGTTGGAAGGTCCCCGCATCAGCAAAAACTGCATACAGAAAAGAAGTGCCCAAGACAGTCTATTCCAGCCAATGACATGGATTAAACAAACAAATTATATGTACCTGTGTATGACTACATAAAGGCAATTACAATGTGCTTCGTAGAACAAAAAGGAAATAAAAGGAATGGCCCCCCCACCGAACGCGAGGACACTTTGCCCCGTTTTCCCCGAGTCAACCAGCGCGTCAACCCGGACTCGCCTGGGGCACTTGGCAAGCCGTGCCAAAGTCCGTGAGTTTCCTCCGTCGAAGCGGGCCGTCCCGGCGAGCAAATGCGCGGAGACGGGGTCCGGGGCGGCCGCGAGCCCCGCGTTAAGGGGGGAGCGTCTGCCATTCATGGAATGGCTAGATGGGGACGTGATCAAAAGTGAAAGAGTGGGTCAGACACTACAAGCAAGCAGTTTACCTGTTTGTCCACAGCAAGGAACTCCTGCGCGAGTTTTGACACCAGACGAGAGACTTGGAATGGTGGAACCAGCAACAAGCTTTGCAACAGCAACAAGGTGTTCATCCTTTGCAGATGAATGACGAATGGAGAAGTCAAGATGGTTTTGCTATGCCAACGGAGTCTGTCCATGTTTGTCAGGGAATAAGTTCTTCAGCTGGAAGCTAACAGTCTGTAGCACCGGTCAGTGACTGGCGATGACTGCGCCGTGACCAGAGCACAACTGCTGCGGGTCACACAAAACCGTTGTCCCACAAAGCCGCCGGGTGGATGTCCACAAACCCGATCACGCCCTGGCGCTGATGAAACCTCGGACGACCTGCCAGTTCACAAGAGCCCCTGTCGGCTCGCTTCACGCCCAGGAGCATGATGGTGTTGCCCTTGTCGCCACCACACAAAAAGTTCGACGCCTCTCAGGCGACTCCGAACCCCTCTCAAACCACCTTTGTTGGAAACTGCATCCTCTCCGATCCTTTTTCCGACATGGTGCAGAAGCACGGGTCCTTTTAGAAGGATTGTCTTCCAAAAAAGAAAAAAAGGATGCACAGAAATCCCCACTTATGCTTCTCCCTGCTTCCTTCTCCTCTTTTTCTCCGTCCCTGTCCCCGCGTGTCCGTTCTCTTCAAAAGACTGCCACAGCACCGTTCGAAACGTCCATGGCCTTGACGTTGCGATGAGCGACACCGCAGGAATGGATCCATTCCACCGCCCGCAACATCCTCAGCCCGCAAGGCTGCAAGCTGCCGAGAAGAAGCGCCGCCGCCCCCCCCGGCGGCAGCTGGCCAAAGGGGTTGTTTCTCTGTCTAGACGTAGCATCAAAGAATACGAGAAGGCACAGCTGTTTGTGTAACAAAATTGGAAAGAAAACCAGTCAGTGACGGACATCGTGGATATGATCTGCCACGAAGCCCTGGGCTAAAGGTCTCCTCTTCTTATCTCCTCTTATCTCTCATCTCTCTGATCTCCTCGGAGAGATCGCCCGCCAAGATTCTGTTTGAACGCCGCTCGAGTTTTCTGCACGTTCCAACTGGTAGAGCTCTTCCTCGGATTGGGGACGCGGACCGAGAGGACGGCGGTTGCGATGCGGAGATGCGGAGGACGCAGCGCGGTGTTTGGCTTCACCGAAACGGTGTACCGACGAACGCTGCATCTTTGGGGTATATAGTTGGTCCAAAATAGAGGTGACTCGGGTTTGAAGGTACACATTGGATCTCAAAAGATTGAAAGAAATCCGGACACGCGCGCCCAGCAGCACTCGTAGATCTTCGGGGATCTGTGAGGAAACTCGGCATGTCTGAAGAGGCATGTCTGGGATCTTGTCCATGAAGATCAACCCAAGTGTTTGAACAACAGCAAAACCATCAAGAACCATGCAAGACACCACAGTCTCTGCTTTCCGACCGCGGGTCCGAGGAAGCAAGGGGGTCGATTTCGACCTTGACCTTCCTTCGAGTCTCACGGTGAGAAGAATCCGCTAAGGGAAGGTTCCGCAAGCAGACTGAGAGTGAAAGAAGTTGTGTGTGAAGCCATAGGGTCCCAATGGGTCCCCAATGTTGGCTATGCACCGCCAAAGGGGTGTCGTCTTCCAGCTTGATATGTGTGGATGTACTATGAGTGCATTCTCAAGCCTCTGGTTGCTGTGGGGGGCAGCAAGGGGGGTTCCTGCTTGCAACGAGGAGCAGCTTCTGCACAAAGCTACATTGGCATCTCTCCATCAGAAAGAACAGAGTCGCTCCATCTGCTCTGATGGTGTACCACTGCACTATGTACCTTGCACGGTAAGGAAGAGACTTGAGAGGAGGGAGACACGAAAGGTAGGACAGCGGGAAGAGAAGAGAACGCGAGGGGCAGGAACAAAATGCAATGTTCGACATGGTGATTTATCCCCTCGGAGGCGACCTTTCGTAAATGTTCATATGCACTCTAAATGTTCAAACATATGCTCTCGAAATGTTCAAAAAGGTTCTTAGGAAAACAAACTTGCCCCATGGCTCAGATCATCGGTGAGCATTGAATCGGAACATCATAGGATTTGAACTATCCTGAAACCATAAGAGGCTCACGAAGACGCTCCCCAGGAGAGAATTGACGTGCTTCACAAAACAAACTCTAGGTATGTATCCCCTCGAGGAACACCTTTCGTGATTAGAATTTCATATTCACTCTTTCTAAATGTTCAAGAGGGTTTCAACTATCCTGAAATCATGAGAGGCTCACGAAGACGTTCTCCAGGAGAGAATTGATTTTAGAGGGGGGAGGGGGGGGGG